CAACACTGGATGGGGTCGTGCAAGAAAAAGCTTGGGAACCCCAGCTATACAAGTTTCTTTTTACTTTTATCCTTTTCACCACTGATCGGCTCGTTAGCTGCTTGGGCGATCGGTTACGTCTCTGTTAAGCACTGTTGGCAAGTACTGGCTCCTGAATGTATCTGAACCTGCTACAGTGCTTATCCAGTCTGGTCTTGAAAGAGCTCACACTCGGTGCCGTCACAACACACTGGCAGATTGTTCCAAGAGTTCACAACTCTCACTCAGAAAAAATTACCCCTCACAGTTTTCTGGGCTTGCGGCTTCTTCAATCTTGAGCTGTGACCCCTTGTGGGGCGAGCGTCCACCAGCTCCAGGTAAGGGCCCTCGAGATGCTTGTACACCTCAATTAGGTCGCCCCTTGCCCATCTGTAGTATAAGCTTGGCAATTTCAGGCACTCTAATCTCTCAGGGTAGCTGAGGTGCCGCAGTGCAGGCACCAGTCTGGTGGCCCTCCTTTGGACATTTTCAATCGACTGAACAATCCCTGGCATATCTTGGGGACCAGATCGGGTGATAGTACTCCAAACGGGGAAGCACTTTAGGGAATTTCATTTAAACCTGCCAGTGGCTCTCAAGTATTGCCTTTCCTCCTGTTGCACCCTGTATATTTGCTGCATGCACAATAAAATCAAATTTTTTCTCTGTTTTTCATCCTTTGGAAATCGATGAAAACTCAAACTTTTATCAAGTAGTCTGTAATTTGATATGCAACCACATACAGAGCATTTACCAGGCATTGCCATAGACCACGACGGCCAGCCGGTAACCGAGCTACCACCCGCCGGGCTGCCAGCCAGATGAGGTCATGCGCGCTGAAGGATGAATTTTTGACTTGAAGTGGGATGACTTGGTATAATTAGACTGAGTAACACATACTAAAACCCGAAAACAACACCATCACCTTCTAAAACACCAAAATCATGAATAAAATAAACTTTTTACAGTTTTAGGATTTTTAAAGATTAGACAATGTTGTCAGAAGTATAAGTGTTTTTTGCATTGTTTTTTAGAATTTTCTCCCAACATTTTCCCTGTACTTCAAAGCCCTGCCCACTTTAAAGAAGTAATATTGTCGGTGATTTTATAGGTTAAAATACTTGAAAAATAAAAATTTCCGGCAGAAACACTATACTGTAGAATAAATTATTGGTAGTTATATAGGACTAAACCGCGAGAGAAATTGATTGAACGCAATTATAAAACACTGGATTTTCATTGTTATATTGTAGTGGACACTGTTATAGTTCGCGGATATGTTAAAAAATGGATATTTAAAAATAAACGCGACTTAACATTTGTGAGTATGAAGATCAGACCTAGCCAAACAAACCTACCTAACCTTACCTAACTTCCCCAGTATATTAAACAGAAAGAACTTACTATGATATGGTGAAATTTGAGGCATTTCCTGGACGCGAGATAATATGGCCGCATCGGCGCTATGCAGCCCCGGCGGGTTAGTCCTATATATTAACCAATTTATTTTCAGTTTGGTATATATTTACTTCACAGCCGCTGCATTTTCATGAACATTTATTTTTAATATGCGGCAATTTCACTGTTATATAGTGAGCACTGTCGTAGTTATGACAAATGTGTTAAAAATTGTTTATTTAAAAGTCCAAGTTAAACTAACCTAACCTTAAACTAACCAAACCTAGCATGTAACTTAGGGCAGGGGTTTTCAAACTATGGGTCCCGACCCTTCAGTGGGTCGCAAAATAAATAAATTGGGTCGCAAAATAAAAATGGGTCGCGAAAATAAATAAGAAAAACAAATAAAATGGGTGGCGAAAATAAATAAGAAAATAAAAATAAATGCACCATAATTTAGGCTTAAACCTGAAGCTTCAAGGAAAAAATGGAAATGTTTTTCAACATATTGAATATATAGAAAGTTTCCAGAAAATGTTGAGAGTTTGGCAAAAAAGAATTGAAAGTGACCATCCTTCCTATTATATGTTCCCAACATTGATGCAACACACAACTGAGACCAATGCCGACGACATCCTAACAGTATTAAAACCAGAGATCTTGTCATATCTTGTGTCACTATCTCAAAACTTTAATAACTATTTCCCTGAGGAGAAATTTGAACCAATGAAGAAAAGCCTTTGGATAAAAAATCCATTTGCCTTCGAAATTCCTGAGTCAATAATTAAATTAAACTTGCTGGCTGAAGAGGAAGGTGAATTGATGCATCTCAGTTGTTCCTTCACACTTAAGAATGAGTTTGAGAAGTCAAATTTAAGCTCATTTTGGGTTAAAAACAAAGATGAATTTCCATTACTCAGTAAAAAGGCTGTTCTAGCACTATTACCTTTCACTACTACTTACTTGTGTGAAGTGGGATTTTCCACTTTAACTCAATTAAAGACTAAAGACAGAAACAGGCTCAACACTGCCCCTGATATGTGTGTAGCACTGTCTTCCTGTGTCCCTAATTGGAAACAGCTGCTTATGAACAAACAAGCACATAGATCACATTAAATCAAGCACATAGATCTTAACTGTTATTTACTTTACTTGTGTTGATGTCTTCTTCATGTTTGATTTTCTTAAAATAATATTTTTATTTTCATACAAGTGGATACATATAATTCAAATATAAATGGATCATGAGAAATTTACATGAATTTTGTCGATGCTAAATAAAGGAAAATTGTGAACAGTGTTTGTCTTTGATTTACTCATTTCATATCATTACACTTAGGTTTAATGGGTCGCAATACAAATTGTTGTTCTGGCTGTGGGTCGCAGTAAAAAAAGTTTGAAAAACACTGACTTAGGGTATATTATTGTATTTCAGCACCCGACATTCCTACCCATAATCTATTATCATATTCGAATAAGACGTCTAATTATAAGATCATTTTCTTCTATTAAATTACCGTCGCAAATGTACAATAACAGATAGTGTATCCAAAATTTACTCTATTTTCTTCCATTAATCTTCCGCCATTATCGCCTACCTCACCTCCCACACTGCGCGTCTCCTTCATAAATCATCACGCGCATGCGTTCCTGTACACGTCACACGGCCAATAAAAAGCGTTTTTTGGGGCAACCAATTAAAATGATTTGTGGTTTAATTTGTGGTATTTTTGGCCCAATCAAATTCGATTTTTATTTGGGTCTCATATTTCAAAATTCAAATTCATTTCCGGCCATAGAAGTCTGCGATGGGTGTCACTTATACTGTATGGAGCTGACTGCGAGTTTTGGGGGAAAAAACAAAGAAACTATAGCATTTTTTTAGATCTCATGGTGTTCTTCCGACCTCAGTAAAGTGTCCTAAGTGCAAGAACGAATGTAAATATCGTCAAGACCAACATATGTGGCATTGTGATAACTCCAACGACGAACGAGAACCAGGCCAATAAGGTAAGAAATAAGTGATTCCATCATATTGTGAGAGTCGGTTAGGTTAGGTCAGGTCAGGTTTATGTTTTTCTAGTGTATTTTTGTGTATTTTGTATTCACTTAGCCATTATTTTTTTCGGAAAACGCCCCACAAAAAAAAAAAAAAATTCGATAAAAAAAACGGCCAATTTCCGACGGAAATGAAGGTCATAACCGATCTATATACACATAAATAAACTAGAAAAATTTATTTTTGACTTTCTAACAGAGTTGGGTGCACTTATACAAATTTACCTAACTTAACACCTTCCGTGAGTGAACTTACTGTTGCTGAGAAGGGGGGAAGCAGCTGCACAGTCCTCCATATTAGCCTTTAGTTTTTTCTTCCTATATAAAGTAATATATAAATAAGTGTTGGCAACTTCTAAATATTTACCCTCATAAGGTGTAATTGAGACAGCCTCAAGATCCTTCATATGTTAATTAAGGTCAGGTCCTGTGGTTACACCGAGGTTAGGTAAGTTAGACATGTATATTGATATTTGAGAGTCGTTTTTGCGTGTTTTTGGCCCAACAATGTTGGTTATATGAGGTTATATTTCCATAAATAGTCATTTCAGGCAGAAATGGTTGTCAAATTAGTATGAAAAGCAACGAAAAACACTTTAGAAACCTATTTTCCATAGTAATTTCCGTGCATGTCAACTAGATAATATTTACCTTCTCATCTTTATACAGTGTTTGCACATACCCCAAAATTTTTCATAATTGTGGGTGTTAATCCCGCATCTTAAAACTTTGTCCCAGACATGACCTGTATTACGAGTTACACCATGTTATACCTTACTAAATATCTCGTCTCTCCGTAACTAACTATTGTGGTTATTAAGTAACAGCTATACTTATAAAATTATGAACCAATAGGAAATGAATGAGGTAAATATTGTACCCTTAACGTACCCAGGCCAGAGGAAGAGTATGTGGACCTGACTCACACCACGCACTCGCGCCAAATGAACTATAAAGGCGTAACCCTCACGATGTGCATTTCTTTTGGCTTCGATATTTTAATTTCTGATGAATGAAATTTATATATAATATAAAATAAAAACATTAAATGCATTTCATTGTTTGCATGAATGTATAATCATTGGGATTCATAGTGAGTTTGGAGTTTATATCACTGTAAACCTATATCGTCTGCTACTGGAGAGAAGTGTCATCATGTCTTGTTTACTCCAACCTTCTCAACAGGTCTCTATACTTTAACACTTTTACCTCAGTATTAATAGTACGTCCATATTCTACGGCTATATATCCAAGTAGATTGTATGTACATGTGTCCATCAACGAGGCGCCGGAAGAAATAACATTAACAAACCACAAGTGTAGACTAACCACTAAACTTTTCGAGCCTAACTTGAGTTCGCGCGTCCGGTACAAAGCAGACGCCATTGATGGCCTAGCAGCCGACGCCAACTGACAGATGGTCAAACTTTCTAGGTGTGAAATGATATTCTCCTACACACTGAATTTTCCCGAACTTGCCATACTTGATAGTATCATAACCTAAATAACAACACTGGATGACTTACGTCTTTGTCTCTCCTCTGTTCCTTTGGTTTTCCGACGAGTTTTCATTCTGTGAAGAAGTTTGACACTTGTCGACTGCTGAGCGAAGGTGGCGCCACGTGTGGTGACTCTGGCGGCCCAGTCCTACCAACTGTGACAGACCACATACAAACTTTCATAATATTCTCATAGAAAACTATATCATTCGTAATGTGCAACACGGCTTCTTATTAGGCTACTCTTTTCGTTTGATATGGTAGAAAATAAATGTTCAGAAATTATTTGAAATAATTATTGTACCCTGTATCTACAAACAACAAGGATCCACCTACTTGTTGCTTCATCGCACGTAATCTCACTATCAAATTTTCATCACACCCTAATATAACATGTGGGTTTTCTCTCTAAAATTATACCAGCAGTTCCGGGCAATGAATAAGATTACTCCTAACCATTTGTAAAAAATATTAAAATGGCCTTAATATACGTTGGTGCCAACTCAAATAGAAACAACAAGAAAGCGCGGGAAGGTCACAGAGGCAGACGATGGTCTTTGTTGACACTAATTATCTGGAGATGATTATAAATTGCAAGTATATATTTCTTTTTTATGAGTAATATACTGAATTATTCATTTAAATATTTACATCTGGCATTTAATTACAATATTACCTTAAACAGGAAACGTCGTGGTTGGATAGGTGCGGTGCAGAGCTAAGAGTGAAGTCTAGGTAAAAATGAAGTGTTTGCCCAACATATCGTACGGCACTCCTGGCAGAACGCTCTGAGATTCCGTGGTGAGCAGAGCTGGTGACTTCCATGCGTTTGGATGTATAATAATTCAGTTAATTAATTGAGTTATTGGAAGTGAAAATGCAGTGAAGCCAGTAATATTATAAAATGTTGATAATAAAGGGTAAATAAATAAATACCAGTAAATACTACTTCTTGCACTCTCACTATGTTGAAATGCACTGCAATTTGAGCTTTTCCCCATCTAGTTATTATATATCTTATTTGTATCACTTATGTTACTTGTATATTATATGTAATTCGAAACCCATTCCCCAAATATGTAACTGTATATTTTCAGCCTTCTGGCTGCCAAGCTCTTTCAATAAACTGTTAATTATTATTATTTATTATCATTATACTTACCAGACATGGTGTTCTACGAAGACATCAAGGTGATCCGGTTGCGCCCGGTTGAGGAAACCTGCCCAAAACTACCCAACTTCCTCGTCCTCCTTAAAGAGTTTTTTAACTCTGAAGGAATCGAGGGAATCATCAAGGTGGAGCGCCTTAAGGTGAACGATGACCTAAAAATCACGTTCGTCGAATATGGCCAATCCCTTCAACTGCCACAATTCACCGACATCAACGGCATACAAGTGGAAAGGATTGTCCACCAGCGGACAACTTGAAGCTGGGATTGATCTCCGACCCTGAAATAGCATACATGGTGTCATATTGTGGAATAAATTATGTTTGTGTTTACCTTTACTCTAAATGTTCTCTTATTCTAATTGGGTTTTGTTTTGTTCTGTTGCAGATGTATATGGATTTATGAGTTGAATAAAGCCTTGATTACTGAAGGTGTTTGATATAATACGACAATTTATTCAACTCATATTCTACTAGCAACATGGAACGCATACTTTGCCCCGACAAGCTTGATGTTGTTCCAACTTTCCCAGCTGCTGAGAAAGAATACAAGCATTGGCGTAAAACTTTTGAAACTTTATTGATGAGTGTGGAGACAGAGCGCCTGACAAACTAAGATGTTTGACAAAATATGTGTCTGCTACTGTGTATGAATACTTTGCTGATGCTACAGAGTTTGAAACAGCTATACAAATGTTGGAAAAGGTGTATGTGAAAAAGAAAAATGAGATATTCGCCAGACACCAGCTCGCCACAAGACGTCAGCGTCCTTCCGAAACACTGGATGAATTTCTTCACGACTTGCACAGACTCAGCAAAGATTGTACTCTAAAAGCTGTCACGGCCGAAGAATATCGTAATATGGAGCATTTGATCTAAAGAGCGCATACCATCAACTACGCATAAGCGAGTCTGATAACCCTTTGCAGCATTTGAAGCAAATGGCAGACTGTATCAATTCACACGTGTACCATTTGGTGTCACTAATGGTGTTGCCGTTTTTCAAAGAGCCATTGACAAGTTCGTGGAGGAAGAGAATCTATGTGACACATTTCCCTACCTTGACTATATTACCATAGGTGGTCGGGATCAGAAAGAACAAGACGCAAATCTTGAGAAATTTCTTGCTGCTGCTGAGGAGAGGAAGCTGACATTCAATACATCCAAATCTACAATATCAGCAACATCGATCAATCTTCTGGGTTATCAACTTGGAAATGGTCAAATCAAACCAGATCCTGAAAGGCTAAAACCGCTGCAAGAACTTCCACCACCTACAAACCGATCGGCTCTTCAACGTGTACTTGGTATGTTTGTTTATTACGCTAAGTGGATCCCGGAGTTAAGGCACGGCCTCTCTACAAGGCTAAATCTTCTCCTCTGGACCGTGAAGTGCTCACAGCTTTTGATGACTTGAAGAAACTGCTTGGGGAAGCTGCCCTAAATGGCATTGACCATGCCATCCCATTTGTTGTGGATTGTGATGCGTCAGATGTGGCCGTGTCTGCTACTTTGAATCAAGCTGGTCGGCCAGTAGTCTTCATGTCTCGGATGTTATCTGGCAGTGAGATTCACTACCCTCCTGTTGAGAAGGAGGCGACTGCAATAATTGAAGCGGTCGTGTTAGCCTTGTACTTTGCGGGAACGCTGTTGATTTTCACTGACTGCCTAAGCATTGCACCATGCCTGGAGAGAGTGGTGGGCAGAAACCTGTGAAGGCTTTGGCTAGAGAAGAAAAGATTGCCCTACTGAACAGCTTAGAAGACGACCTGCGGCTTTCAAGTAGCGAATCGAAAGCAGACGATCCACGGCCAACAACAGACAGTTTTCAAGAGGTGATTAGTAAGAAAGAAAAGAAGAGGAGGCGAGAGTCGGCGAAGAAAAGTGAAGGAAGTGATAGTGATGAGATCATGAATGATAGGAAGAAAAGGACGACACACACAGAAGAAAGCAGAAAGAATTCAACTGGGAATAAAACACAGCAGGTCTTGACTGAATCCAACACCCTTCAAGAGTCAGACCCCAGTGATTATGACAGTGACGGTAATGTTTCTATGGGAAACACTAGCCACAGTGGAAACAGCAATGCCATGGACCCTATCACCCTGCCCTCTGCCAAACAAACAAGTAAGCTGAATCTCCACTTTCCCAAGGACTCATTAAAATCTGTCGAGGATCGGTTTAATTGGATGATGAAGTACTGCAGACAGCATGGTCCCAACATTCAATTCCGACAAGGTAAGAACCGGAACTTTATCAAGTGTCAGACTCCTGAAGTCTATAAAACCCTTAGTACTGTTGGCTTTGACGGGGTTGTCCTAGTGGCCCCTCCAGCAGACGCTGATGAATGTTGCCACATCCTAGTGAAACGATTCCCCCTATACGCTGACATCGAAGATGCACGTGACTTTAATTCTAATATACTCAGTATACGTCGACATTACCGGGGACACACTCCACAAGCTGCTGTTATTGTCAAGTGGAAGGGAAGGGTATGTCCAACCACTGTGGAAGCCCATCCAATCCTTCCACCACTTTATGCAGAGCCCTATCATCCTGGGCCTGCATTTTGTGTTATCTGCTCTCATTGGGGTCACACCTTCACTGCCTGCTGCCGACGTGATCGTCCTAGATGTCGCTTCTGTTCACGTAACCACAACTCCGCCGCCTGTGCCCAGAAAATCAAAGACCACCTTAATAGGGGTGGTGTGGGCTATGTAGTTGAGCCCAGGTGCTGTAACTGTGGCGGCTGGCACAATGCTGACTCACGGCAGTGCCCCAGTCGCCCTTCTGTCCCAGGGGAGAGGCCTCCCCAAGGGCTGCGTCTACCACAACGCCCCCCTCAGTCTACTGGGTCACCTGCCCCTGCCTGGCTTCACCAGGCTGCGCCACAACAGCACCTACCATTCCCTAACTCAACCACTACTGAGCCTCCTCCCCGTCTCTACTCTGACGCTATCATGCTTCGTGTTCCCACCAGTGCCCCCACAACCCCCCTCCAGTGACATGACGCAGATCATGTCCCCTTCCAAGAATTTACCAGTCATGTTGAGAAACTCTTCGTTACACTCGGTACCGCCATCTCCGACCTACACCGCCAACTCTTGCCCTATGCTGCCACCCAGTCACTTCCCTCTTTTAGTTTGACACAAGCTGGTAATCCCTCTGTGAGCTTCCCTTGCTCATAGGTTGTGTGTACTACTGCCCCCGAGCCAAGCCCTGCCTCATCTTCACGTCACGTGGTTCCTCAACCTGTCTACCCACAGCAAGCCACGTCCACTCCTGTGTCTATGCTATCTCCACCAGGGCTACCTATTGGACCTGAGGACTCCACCCCCGGCTACCCCTACTCCACCGACATGCCGGCACCTAAGGCCCATCTGTCCACGTCAGGGGTACACATGTACCCAACCGGCCCGCTTGTAATCAGTCTAATACACCACAATGGATAGCAACACTACTGGACTGCAGTTCTCCATGTCAATTGACCATCCTGCGGACATGCTAGTGGACTACTGATCTACACCAAAAAGGACGTCCCCTACCAACCTCTCGACGTCCCCCTTGAAGCCAACACTACCGACTAAAAGGTATGCCCCTCAATATTGTCAATGCCTATGACTATGGCCTGGCACTTGACATTATTAGGGACCTGCCACGCTTTGCCATAAACAGATAAATTGGCGCAGGTTTACACTCATTCTGTCTGCTTAACTTGCTGAAAAAACCCGCAGCGCTGAACTTTTGCGCCCATAATGCATGAGTCTTAAATAGCATGAACTCTGTGCTTCCCAGATGGGCACTGTAAGATGTAAGGAGGTGCGCAATAAACTAGCCCCCTCCGGGGCAATCTAAAAAAAATCTAAAAAAAAATTGAGGTGGTGAGAAAGTGGTCTCACCTGTTGTTGGGACGGCACTTCACCATTGTTACTGACCAGCGATCAGTTGCATTTATGCTGGACAGTCGTAGGAGGACTA